TAGTAGCACCCCCAGGCCCAGCACCCCCAGGCTCAGCACCCCCAAGAGTAGCACCCTCAGGCTCAGCACCCCCAGGCGTAGCACCCACACGCTCAGCACCCCCAGAGTCAGCACCCCCAGGCTCAGCACCCTCAGCAGCACCAGAGTCACCAGTAACCTCGACAGGCTCGACGGCGTCTACCTGGGACACACCTGAAGGGGCAGGACCCTGAGGGGGGAGGGGGTCTACCGGGGGGGGACCTGGCACAAGGAAGAGCGGTGGCGGGGGGAGGGACGGAGTGCGGTAGGGGAAGAGGCGGTAGTAGGGGACCGACTCGTCAAACGTGACGTCCTGGGAGGACAGAACACGGCGAGAGGTGGGGTGGTAGAACTGCCACCCTGGCACGTCAGGGGGGAAGCCAAGGAAGACGCAAGGAGCAGCACGAGGGGACAGCTTGTCCGCAGACAAGTCGCGGACAAACGCCCGAGATCCCCAGACACGGAACGCAGACGCATCGCCAACCTTCCCCGTCCACAGCAAAGCTGGGGAGGTCTCCGGCATGGAGACCCTGGGGTGAAGGTTGATCTGATGCGCCGCGTACCGAACCGCAAACGGCCACAGAAAATGGGGGGCAGCCGCATGCATCATGGACGTACGGGCGACGTCCATGACCATGCCAATGCGGCGCTCAGCAATCCCATTTTGCTGTGGAGAGTCCGGAAGCGTGAAGGTCTGGCGGATGCCTCGTGCACGACAGTAGGCTCGCAGAAGGCCAGAGGAGAACTCTCCACCTCTGTCAGAGTGCAGACGCAGAACAGGAAAGTCCGAGCCGAAGCTCTGCCTGAGCTGGAGACGAGCTGCGCGGATCCAGTCGATCAACACCTCAGTGACATCACCCTTGCTGCGCAAGGGGAAGACTGTGGTGTAACGCGAGTAGTCGTCAACAACCAGCAGGAAGTAGCGCTCGTGACCCTGTCCACGGACGCGGGCCGGGCCCCACACGTCCATGTGAAGCGTCTGCAGCGGGGCCTCTGTCGGAGGAAACTGGGAGGAGTGAGGGGCAGCCCGCTGCCGCCCCTCGACACAAGGGACGCAGGTAGGGCCTGGCCCCGGAGGAAGGGGAGGGAGGGACCGGGGAAGACCAGAGACAAGGACACGGGAGGCCATGCCTCGGAGACGAAGCAGGGAGGGGTGACCAAGGCGGTGGTGCCAGAGGAGAGTCTCGTGCCACAGGAGGCGACACGAACAGGGGGCAGACTCAGGACCAGACCTGGACGCTGCAGCAAACACCTGACCCGACGCAGCTACCTGACCAGACGCAGTGACTGGAGGAGACGCAGTGGTCAGTGTGTACAGGCTCGACCCCGGCCGACGTGTAAACGTGGCCAGGTGTCGGCCTGTCCGAGCGTCCGTGCAGTGGGTCACCCGCTGACTCGCAGGAGTGAACTGGTGAACCCCCGCATCCTGTAGGTCAGCACCACTCACCAAGTTCGTAGAGAACGAGGGGAGGTAAAGACCAGACAGGGTGCCAGAGGGGGCCGCCGGACACGGGAGGACAGTGGAGAAGTGAGCAAGGACAGGACCCCCAGAGGGGTCTGCCAGAGAGTCTGCAACTGGCCGGCCAAGCGGCGTGAGTGTGGTGCGGTCTCGAAAGAAGGAGCGAGAAGCCCCCGAGTCAAGGGTGAAGGTGTGGGAGGCCGAAGCCGACGCAGTACCTGAGAGAGCAGACTCACCAGCACCTGAGGGAGCAGACACACGAGCACCTAGAGCAGCAGCCTCGCTAGCACCTAGAGCAGCAGCCTCACCAGTACCTAGAGCAGCAGTCTCAATGCCCGGGTCGCGCGGAAAACACCGGTAACAGTCACCCTCATCACTAATAGTCACAGCATACATGGCAGCAAGAATAGCATCAAAGTCAAGGTCAAAGACAGCTACACCCGCCCTAGACAGCTCGCCCCAGCGGGGGATCTCAGTGGCCTCAGGGAACTGGTGACACCAAGCGTCCGTCAGGCGGCCAAAGCAGCGCTGGGTGGAGTGCGCACCCCCGCACTGCTCACCCGCGCGGTCGCTGGTGCGTAGGACGTAGGTGCACGGACCAGTACCCCCACCCCGCTGGCGTGCAGCGTACCACTCACGGAGCTGCTGAGGGGGGGGGATGTCACGAGTGCGCTGCTGCCGCTGCTGCTGCTGCTGCTGGCGCTGACCACCACCGGAGCCGACCCTCTGCGCAGCGCCACCCCGACCAGCTCCACCTCCTCCGCCGCCGCCTCCTCCACCGCCGCCACCTCCGCCACCTCCGCTCCCACCGCCACCGCCGCCGCCGCCTCCGCCTCCACTGCCGCCACCGACACCTCCACCCCCGCCACCACTCCCACCACCACCCCCACCCCCTCCACTGCCTCCACCGCCACCTCCGCCACCCCCGCCAACCCCTCCAGCACCCTTGCCCCCCTTGCCCTTGCCGGTGCGGCGTCTCCCGCTCGAGGCAGACGCAGCGCCGACCGACTCGAAACCAACGAGGTCGGCCGCAGCAGCAGAGGCAACAGAGGGCAAAAGGGGGGAGGGGGAACACCCCTCAAAGACGGGGGTGCGAGGGTCACCACGAGAGGCTCCTACAGTGACTATGCTCTTCTCTGCTGCTAGGAGGGCCTTCTCGAGGAGGTCAACGGTGAGAGTGGTGGGGCAAACTGAGAGGAAGTGGTCCCTGACTACGCGAAGGGAGTCAGGGAGCCGGGTGACTATGTAGTAGAGGGTGATGTACATGGGGGGGGGGTTCTTGGCGCAGAATTCAGCAGGAAGCGCAGCGCGGTAGCGAGTGTCACTAGTGCGGAGGTGCGTAATGAGGTCAGCGACTGTGGGAAAGGCAGCAAGGTCAGGGAAGAGGTACGGTAGCATGAGGCGGCTCAGTGCAGCAGTGGCAGGGGAGGAGTAGCGCGCAACTACAGCGTCGTACAAGGTGTGAGCACTCTTGTACTGGCTAAAGTGCGCACGCTCAGAGGTAGGCAGGTGGCGACGCACAGCAAGACGTGCAGCAGCATCGCGTGTGGCCCACTGTGAGCGAACAGTGGCGTCGGCATCAGCAGCAGGGGCAGGAGAGGCACCAGAGGTGAGGTCAAAGAGGGAGAGACCGTCTGCCCTATCGCACTGTAGGAAAAGCTGCAGGTCATCTACCCAGACGTCAAAGTCAATGGCCCGACCCTCAGCGTCAAAAGCGAGGACACTAGGGGTAGCCATGACAGCGGTGGACTAGCAGCGCGAACAGTAGGGTAAGGGCAGTGCAGTGACAGAGGCGCTGCTCTTACCGGACAGGGCGGCTCGGGAGGCTCGGCGGCTCGGCGGGTCGGCAACTCGGCGGCTCGGGCGGCTCGGGCGGTACGGCGGCTCGGCAGCAACTGCGGCTCGGCGACTCGGCGACTCGGGCGGCTCGGGCGGCTCGGCGGTACGGCGGTTCGGCAGCAACTGCAGCTCGGCGGCTCGGCGACCCGGCGGCTCGGGCGGCTCAGGTGGCGCGGCGGCTCGGGCGGCCCGGGTGGATCGGGCGGCTCGGCAGTAGCTCGGCGGCGCCGGCGGCTCGGTGGTGACGGCGGGGCCGCGTGGGGACGGCGGCGGGGCCGGGTGGAGCGGCGGCGAGGCCGGGTGGAGCGGCGTCGGGGCCAGTAGAGGCGGCGCCGGGGCCGGGAAGGGCAGCTCCGGGGCCGCAGGGGTAGGCGACGGGGCCAGCAGAGGCGGCGCCGAGGCAGGGAAGGGCGGCGCCGGGGCCGCAGGGGTAGGCGACGGGGCCGCGAGGGCGGCTAGGAGGGGGGCGGGGGGTCGCGAGGGCGGCTTGAAGAGGCCGCGAGGGCGGCTAGAAAGGGCCGCGAGGGCGGCTAGAAGGGGCCGCGAGGGCGGCGTGAAAGGGCCGCGAGGGCGGCGCGACACGAAGGAGCCGCGAGGGCGGCGGATCGGGGCAGCGAGGGCGGCGCGACGCGGCCGCTAGGGCGGCGCGACGTGAAGGGGCCGCGAGGGCGACGCGACGGGGCCGCAAGCGCGACGCGACGGGGCCGCTAAGGCGGCGCGACAGGGTCAAGAGAGGGGAGCGCGACTCGGGCAGTGGAGAGCGCGCTCCGGGCAGGAAAAAAATGTGGTGGGCCCTAGGAACAGTTCCCACAGGGGAACCTGCTCGATACCATGAGAAACTGAACGAGAATGAATGACTAAGGGAAAGTTGGGTACAAATGTAAACCCTAGAAAACTGTACCCCATATGTGCTACCCCACTATAGCCTATAGTAGCTATGTCATATAAATCTGACAGGCGCAGCCAGATCTCCTCGTGCAGGGTGCCCTGTAGGAACGCAGTGCTGAAGTCAAGGCAGTGGAGCTCGTAGTCACGCTGAGCAGCGACGTGCAGCAGAACCCGAAGAGTGGTCATCTTCGGGGTCGGGGAGAAGGTCTGGAAGAAGTCAACTCCCTCTCGCTGACTGAAGCCTCGTGCAACGTAACGCGCCTTGAAGACAGGCGGAGAAACCGGCGGCCGCTTCACCCTGAAAATCCACATGCCACTGACAATGTTCGCCCCAGGTGGGGGGACCTCGTCGACGTAGGTGCCTGTGGACTTCCAGGAAGCCATCTCTGCGTCCATGGCTGTCTGCCACTGAGGGGAGTAGAGACCCTCCATCGCCTCTGCGTAAGAGCGTGGGGTCGGGATGTCTGGTGCATCCGGGTCTCCCTCAGGGGCAATCAGCATGGACACGAGATGAGGTAAAACAGTGGCAAAGCACTCAAACTCCTCCTGTCTGTCCTTAAGGACGTCCGTGCCAAGAGCACACTCACCCCCGACGGACGGAGGACAGACAGACTCAGACTCAGCAACAAGGCAAGCGGGGTAGTCTAGACGACAGGCGGCAGCAAAGTCAACAAGCTCAGCGACTAGAGCAGACGCAGCAGAGGACTCAAAGGAAGGGTCAGTGACAACAGTGGCAAGGAGACGTGCGACAGTAGGACTGGCAGCACGAGTAAGGTCTGACGGCGGGTCAGCAACATCAGGAAGAGAGGACGCAGGAGGAGACGGCAGAGGGACACGCTGTGGAGCAGTGGAAGGACGCAGGGTCATATAGTGAGTGCCAAGGACAGGAGGAGGACGCTCACGCGGAACACGACGACCAGTGCGAGCAGCGCGGACAGGCGACTCTGGACGAGACTCAGGAGACGCAGGACTAGACTCAGGCGACGGAGGACGAGACTCAGGCTCACGACGCTCCGTAAGACTACCCGTCGGCGCAGTGTAAGGAGAAGGAGCAGGCAGCGGAGAGGCAGACTGTAACTGTGACTGCGACTGGACAGACGGTGGACTCAGTAGGGGAGGAGAAGGACCAGTAGAGGGCGGGAGACCAAGAACCTGCTGAAGGAGCGGAACGTAGTACGGCCGGGGCCGCTCAGCACCTCCAGCTCCAACCCCCTCAGCAGGTCCAGTCCCAGCAGCTCCAGTACCTCCAGTACGAGCACCTCCAGGACCAGCGGCTCCAGCAGCTCCAGTAGCACCAGCACCAGCAGCACCTCCAGCAGCGCCAGCAGCACCACCAGCAGCAGCAGCACCTCCAGCAGCTCCAGCAGCAGCGTCAGCAGCACCGGCACCTCCAGCAGCTCCAGTAGCACCAGCAGCACCGCCAGCAGCAGCAGCACCTCCAGCAGCTCCAGCAGCACCTCCAGTAGCGCCAGCAGCACCAGCACCTCCAGCAGCTCCAGCAGCACCAGCACCAGCAGCACCTCCAGCAGCGCCAGCAGCACCGCCAGCAGCAGCAGCACCTCCAGCAGCTCCAGCAGCACCAGCAGCACCAGCACCAGCAGCACCTCCAGCAGCGCCAGCAGCACCACCAGCAGCTCCAGCACCAGCAGCACCTCCAGCAGCACCAGCACCTCCAACAGCACCAGCACCAGCAGCACCTCCAGCAGCGCCAGCAGCACCGCCAGCAGTAGCAGCACCTCCAGCAGCTCCAGTACCAGCAGCACCTCCAGCAGCGCCAGCAGCACCTCCAGCAGCACCAGCACCAGGAGCACCTCCAGCAGCGCCAGCAGCACCGCCAGCAGCTCCAGCACCAGGGTCCGCGACACTAGGAGCGCCACTCCGGAGACTGCAGCGCCGAGCGTACCACTCTCGGAGCCGCTGGGGAGAGGGCAGCTCCCGCCTAGGAGGGGAAGCACTAGCACCAGCTCCAGCAGCACTCCTAGCTCCAGAAGCACCTCTCCTGAGGCTGCAGTACTGAAAGTACCACTCACGCAGCTGCTGTGAGGAGAGAGCTCCTCCAGGTGTAGCACTCCCAGGCTCAGCACCCCCAGACTCAGCACCCCCAGACTCAGCACCTGCAGACTCAGCACCCGCAGGCTCCGCAACCCCAGGCTCAGCACCCCCAGACTCCGCAACCCCAGGCTCCGCACCCCCAGGCTCCGCACCCCCAGGCTCAGCACCCCTAGCAGGACGAGAGTCGACAGCTACCTCGACAGGCTCAACCGGGTCTACGTGGGACACACCTGAGGGAGCGGCACCCTGAGGGGGGAGGGGGTCTACCACAGCAGCACCTGGCGCGAGGAAGAGAGGCGGGGGGGGGAGCGGGGCAGTGCGGTAGGGGAAGAGGCGGTAGTAGGGCACCGACTCGTCAAAAGTGACGTCCTGAGAGGGCAGGACATGGCGCGAGGTGGCGTGGTAAAACTGCCAACCAGACGCGTCCGGACGTATCGCGGACAAAAGCTCGAGATCCCCAGACCCGGAAACGCGACGCATCGCCAACCACCCCCGTCCACAGCAGTGTGGGCGAGGTCTCCGGCAAGGAGACACGGGGCCAGAGGTTGAGCTGATGCTCAGCGTACCGGACCGCAAACGGCCACAGAAAGTGGGGGGCAGCCGCATGGATCAAGGAGGTACGAGCGACCTCCATAACCAAGCCAATGCGGCGCTCAGCAACCCCATTCTGCTGTGGAGAGGCCGGAAGCGTGAACGACTGGCGGATGCCGTGCTCCGCACAGTAGGCTGCCAAGAGGTCGGAGGAGAACTCACCACCTCTGTCAGAGTGCAGACGCAGGACAGGAAAGTCCGAGTGGAACCGCTCGCTGAGCTGGAGACGAGAAGCGCGGATCCAAGGGATCAAAACATCAGGGACCTCACCCTTGGTGCGCAAGGGGAAGACCGTGGTGTAGCGCGAGTAGTCGTCAACAACGATCAGGAAGTACCTCTCCTGACCCTGTCCACGGACGCGGGCTGGGCCCCACACGTCCATGTGGAGTGTCTGCAAGGGAGCAGTCGTCGGGGGAAACGAGGAGGAGTGAGGAGCGGCGCGCTGCCGCCCCTCGACACAAGGAAGACAGGGAGGAGCAGGCGAGGGTGGGAGGGGAGGGAGTACCCGGGGAAGACCAGAGACAAGGTACCGTTTGTGCATGGCACGAAGGCTCTGCACTGACGGGTGACCAAGGCGGTGGTGCCAGAGGACGGTCTCGTGTGCTAGAGAGCGACACGAGCAGGGGGCAGATAGCTGACCTGAAGCAGACGCAGACGCAGCTACCTGAGGGGACTCAGTGGTCAGTGTGTACAGGTCCGACCCCGGCTGCCGAGTGAAGGTAGCCATGTGACGGCCCGTCCGAGCACACGTGCAGTGTGTCACGCGCTCGTAGGCAGGGGTGAACTAGTGGACACCCCCGTCCTGGAGCGCACAACCCGCCACCAAGTTCGTAGAGAACGAGGGGAGGTGGAGACCTGACAGTGTGCCCGACGGAACCGCAGGACAAGGAAGGACAGTAGAGGAGGTAGCAATGACCGGACCCCCAGAGGGGTCAGCAAGGGAGACAGCAACTGGCCGAGCAAGCTGCTCAAGGACAGTGCTGTCACGAAAGAAGCAGCGAGAAGCACCTGAGTCCAGTGTGAAGGTGTGCAGTGCCTCAGTAGACTCAGTACTAGGGGGCGCAGACTCACGAGCACCTAGAGCAGCAGCCTCACCAGCACCTGGGGCAGCAGACGCACTAGCACCTAGAGCGGCAGCCTCACCAGCACCTAAGGCAACAGACACACGAGCACCTAGTGCGGCAGCCTCACCAGTACCTAGAGCAGCAGACTGGATACCGGGGTCAGGCGGCACACACAGGTGACAGGCACTCTCGGCACTAGTAGACAATGCATACATGGCAGTGAGGATAGCATCATAGTCAAGAGCAAAGATATCTACCCTCTGCCTAAGCAGCTCCACCCAGTCGGGGAGCTCAGCGTCGTCGCCAAGCCCTGTACGCCAAGCGTCGCCCAGACGGGCGAAGCAGTGGGACTCTGTGTGACCACGTGTCCCGCAAGGCTGACCAGTCCGGACACCTGTGCGAATGACGTACGGGCAGCGAGCAGTACTCAGTGACCCTCTACTCTGAGCGTACCACTCACGAAGCTGCTGGGGCGAAAGAGCCTCGCGTAGACGACGCTGCTGCTGCACCGGGCCACAACAAGAAACTCCCGAACGACCCACTCCAGGACGACTCCCACTACCGCCACCCCGACAACCCCAACTGCCGTACCACTCACGAAGCTGCTGGGGCGTGAGGGACACACGTGGACGGCCCTGGAGCTGCATCTGGCCACGCCAGGAGCAGCAGTAGAAGCAGTAGCAGCAGCAGTAACAGCAGTAGCAGCACGGGCAGGGCAGTGCTCACCAGTGGTGGGAAGGGCAGGCGCACGAGCGAGGCGACTGCGGGGCCGCCACAGCGGCCGCTCGAGGGGCGGCTGCTCCAGGGGCGGCTGCTCCAAGGGCCAGGGGCAGCTCCTGCAGTGGCAGCTGCTCCAGGGGCGGCTGGTCCAGTGGCCAGGGGCGGCTGCTGCAGGGGCGGCTGCTCCAAGGGCCAGGGGCGGCTGCTGCAGGGGCGAGGGGCGGCTCCTGCAGTGGCGGCTGCTCTAGTGGCCAGGGGCGGCTGCTCCAGGGGCGGCTACTCCAGTGGCCAGGGGCGGCTGCTGTAGGGGCGGCTGCTCCAGGGGCCAGGGGCGGCTGCTGCAGAGGCGAGGCGCGGGTTAGGTCAGGGCGACTCAGCGGGCAGGGGCGACGCACGGGCAGGGGCGACGCGGCGGGCAGGGCGACGCGGCGGGCAGGGGCGACGCCGTGGGCAGGGCGACGCGGCGGGCAGGTGGCGACGTCGCGGGCAGGGCGACGCGGCGAGCAGGGGCGACGCCGCGGGCAGGGGCGACGCGGCGGGCAGAGCAACGCGGCGGGCAGGGGCGACGCCGCGGGCAGGGCTACGCGGCGGGCAGGTGGCGACGCCGCGGACAGGTGACGACGCCGCGGGCAGGGCGACGCGGCGGGCAGGTGGCTACGCCGCGGGCAGGGCGACGCGGCGAGCAGGGGCGACGCCGCGGGCAGGGGCGACGCGGTGGGCAGAGCGACGCGGCGGGCAGGGGCGACGTCGCGGGCAGGGTGACGCGGCGGGCAGGTGGCGACGCCGCGGACAGGTGACGACGCCGCGGGTCTGCAGGGGCGGCTCTCGGGCCTGACGGGCCTGCAGAGGCGGCTCGGGGGCCTGACGGGTCTGCAGAGGCGGCTCGGGGGCCTGACGGACCTGCAGGGGCGGCTCGGGGGCCTGACGGACCTGCATGGGCGGCTCGAGGGCCGTACTAGCTTGCAGGAGGCAGCGCGAGGGCTGCAGGACGGCACGCGGGCAGACCGAAGGGCGGGGCGCGCGAGGGCGCACTAGCAGAAAAAACAGGGCGCACGAGGGCGCACGAGCAGAGAAAGGCGCACGAGGGCGCACGTAAGGTAGGGCGCACGAGGGCGCTTCTAGCGGAATAGTGGGCCCGTAGTAGAAAGCGTTCCTAGGTGGCAACCTAGGCTCTGATACCATGTTAGAATGAACAAGTGTGTTTGAACTAGCAGGATTGGGAGTACAAGTAGGAAACCCTAGAATGTTGTACCCCCTAAGGCTAAACCCACTATAGCCTACAGAATATAAACATATACAATGTTTGACAGTACTCGGGCTGAGGGCGCTCGATCGAGAGGTGTTGGAGCTGGAGGTGCTGGCACTGGAGGTGCTAGCTCTGAGGGTGTTGGACCTGGCGGTGCTGGCGCCTTGGTGCAGGCACATTGCCCCCATGGCCTCCATGGGGACACGTGCTGGCCACAACGGAAGCAGGTGCCTTTGAAGCCATGTTTCCTCCTCCCATGCTCTTCGGCATGAAGGCGGCGGACACACGGGGGAAACAACGGCTCCAGCGAGGGAAGCCGGTCTTCATGCGCTTGAGCGCCACCATATCTGCCACCGCCATTTTGAAGGAGCGCGAGGTAAGCATAGCTGTGGTCTTCAGCAGCTGGTAGCACTCAGGCACGTCGAAGCCCGCGTGGTCGGCGACGACCAACACATCAAAGTAGAGCTTGATGAGATCTTGGGCGACGGTCTTGAATGCGCCGGTGGCGTCGCCACTACGCATTTTGTGCTCCACGTGCATTAGGTAAGTGTGGAGCGCTTCGAAGACTTCCGCCTGGTCGCGGACGCCCTTGCGGTTGAAGGCGGAGGCTACGGTCGAAGGATGAGGGGAGGAGAGAGGGGGAAGGAGATCGTTAGACAAATGCGGAGGGGGATTGTTTGGCTCCTCGCCCTCGTCACTGTCAGAGTCGGAGTCGATGTCGACAGGGGAAGCCGGCTCTTCTTCGAAGGCAGGCGCCTTTCCTTTGTCGGCGCGGGTGAGTTCGGCGACACGTGCGGAGGTTGAAATGTTGTTGCGCGCATTTGCAGTTTTAGTGGATGCATAAATATCCTCTTCAATTGTAGCTGCAGTTGTTGTCTCAGGAGCCGCGGCCTGCTTTTGGAGAAGCGCCAGCAGTGCCACAAGTTGTGAGGTCGAGAGATTCACTGCCGCCCCGTCTGACGCAGCAGATTCCGTCGCCCTGCGCTTGGGGGGTGCGCGAGATCCGCTCGGATCTACGGCGGCAGCGGCGGCGGCGGCGGGGATGGCGACGAAATTGCCATCATTATCGCCACCGGCAGGCCCACGAGCCTGCGTGTGGGACGCGCGGGGCTAGGACGGTCGCGCGATTGTTCTGTCCTTGCCGAGCTGCACGTCGACCACCGTGTGGGTGCCTTCGGCGTGATTCTCCGCAGGGAATTTCCTTTTCTCCGCGCTTGTTTCCCGAGGCGGTTTTTCAAGCCCCGTCGATTTACGAGCAGGAGACAGGGCCTATTTTTCAAAGGTGAAATGCACTGATTACACTTGCTAGCGGCCTTTTTTTGGGGGTTCCCCTGATTTTGTAAGCCTATTTAGTTTGCTACTCTTACGGGAAAAGTGTGCACTCTCCAAGTAGGCTGATTTTGAAAGGGTTCCCTGCGTTTTGCCCTGTCCAGTCAGGGTGTCTGAAAAAAGGGCACTGAAACAGAAAAGACGACGGGTTTAGGTTTGCCGCGGATATGTGAATGTCAGACCTATCCACCGTCTGCCTGGCTGTCAGGTGGTTACGGAAAACGAGCACAAGCGTGTGAAATCAAGGCAGCGGATGGCAACATTGTTGCTAGCGTTGATTGCGCCAAAATCAGCGCATGTGCGTCACGACTCACGTCTTTCAACCAATCGCTGCTAGTCCGATTCAGTGTTTGTGCCACTGTTGTTTGTCACATAGAGGGTCCTCCTTGAGAGCCAGCCGAGCATGTGAGTTCGTCCCTCTCATCTCTCCCTCTCCTAGGCGAATGAATCGATCGTGAGTATAGCTCGCGTTTGGTGCTCTATGTAGATTTCAAGAATCTAGCAATACATCCGTTCACCATGGACGATGGTGAGACAAGCGAAGCTAGGGAGCCAGCACGCAATGGACTTAGTGTGCTCTGAGTTTTCCCTCTCCGCCCGCCACTCGTTGCCCCTCCATGTCCGCCACCAAGCACTCGCGTTACACCACCCCAGTCCATAGCGCGCGACTGGGGGTTTCAACCAACATCCGGCCCATCAGATGCCTTCCCCGAGCATCCTCTCCCTCCTAACGACAAGTGCGGCGAATCATCCGCAAACCCGTCTGGAACCATTCCGGAACCCACGCGCCAAGAGCCTGCAAAACGACAGCGGCTTGGCACTTATACTCAGCTACGACTATGGGGTGCTCCTCCACCTGCCCGTGCCATTAGCCCTTCTCCTAACGTTCGGCTGCCACGTCCCCCGAGCACTCCAACCACTGACGCGGAAGCTGAGTACGCAGTGATCGAAAACAGGTACCAGGGTGATTGGGCAAAGAGATTTTCATGGCTGAAACTTTTCAGGATTACTAATGGTCGCCCTGCCTTGAAGTGTACGGTGAGCTTGAAGCATGCAGACCCTACCGCCAACACCAGCTACGGAATCAAGGAAGAAGGTGGACGTGATATGCAGCTTGGCAGCATCAAAGCCCACCTCACCACGCGAGCACATAAGTCGGCTCTCAAGGCACAGGCTGACACCGAGAAGGAGAAGGCTCGTCAAGCCTCTATCACGCGCAGGCAGAAAACTGACGCCGCCACTCGACACCTCATCCGGGTTTTTCATGTGGCGTTGTTCATCTGCAAGTCGGACGCGCCTATAGCCCTATTTGTCACCCTCTGCTGGTTTCTTGCCAAATAGGGTATGCCCGATATGGTGTCCGGGGGAGGAGAGGTTGAAAGGCACGAGACGGCGAGGAGGAGCGAGGGGCAGTGCGTTGGCGGCCCTCAACGCAGGGAGTGCAAGGCGGCAGATACGAGGGAGGAATTGGGGCAAGGGACTCTGTGAGACATGTGTCAAGACGACGTGAAACTATCTGACACAGATGCGGAAAGGAGGGTTGTCCTAGGCGTTGGTGCCAAAGAAGTGTCGGGTGGGTGAGAGACTGATATGAGCAGGACGCAGCTACCTGACCAGACGCAGACACCAGGGAAGACTTCGTGCGCAGCTAGAAGAGACCCGTCCCAGACTCCTGAGAGAGTGTGGTAAGAGGAGCCCAAGTGGTAAAGTCCGTACAAGTCGCAACACCCAGGTCATGGAGGTGACCCACACCAACCAAGTTCCTGGAGAACGAGGGAATGTGCAGACCCGTAAGGGAGCCGGAGGGGACTGCCGTACACAGGAGCGTAGTAGGGTTGCGCCCGATGACGGGTCCAGAGGAGGGATCGGCCAACGCAACTGCATCATGAGTTCGAAGAGGCGCAAGGCTCGTGCGGTCGCGGAAAAAACACTGGGAGGCAAGCGTGAAGGAAAGCGAAGGGTCTGCAGTGGTCACACATGTGCTACCAACAACAGAAGATCGTAGACATGCATCAGATACTGATCCTAAAATAGATGCATAAAAATAATGTCCAACATCACTGTAGCCCGATGAAGACAAGGCAGCAGGAACATCACCCATGTCCACAAATAGGCACACCATGCGTCATCAGAGAGTAGAGTCCGGATAGCAGCCTAAAGACCAAAGCGCAGGCAGTGGAGCTCGTCGAGGCAGCTGAAGCATCGCGCTGAAGAGTGGTCATGACGTCCGAAGAAGGTGCCGACGCCATGGCCAGTCTCAAGACGGTACTGACACGGCCCAGCTCCACGGCGACACAACACCCATGCTGGCAGTTCCGCACAGAGGCTAGCGCTCCCCGGACCACTAGGGCCCCACTGCAGCTGAGAGACCCACCGTTGCACCGCCTGTCACTGCTGCGATAGCTGTTGTTGCGGTTGCTACTGCAGCAGCTGAAAGATGTTGCGGCTGCTGTTGCTGTGGCTGCTGCGGCGGTGCCGCCACGCCCCCAGAGCCAGTACCTCCTCCAGCTGCACCACTCGACCCTGAACCTCCTCCAGCGGTAGCTCCCCCAAGCTGCCAGCACATCCACTCCTGTCAAACTATGAATGGGAGAATGAATGACTAGAATGAGCAAGTACAATGGTAGATATAGGAAACCTAACCCTAGCACTAACAAAGTAGTAGACCACCTAGACTCAACAATATGAACTATAACAAATATAGTTTGACACACCCCCATAGTCTAGGTGACGGCAGTCCTGTGGAAAGCAACACATATCTCAGGGTAGATCACGAACTCACCACACAGTTTGAGAGCAAGCAAGGGGCCACCAGGCCAGTCCACAAGCAGGTGTATAGTAAATATACTGAGATGCGTGAGTACAAGACAAAGCATCTCTACGCAAGCATGTGGGAACCTGCAGGTACAAGACCCAGCTGGGTGCAGAAACGCTGGTGGTCACAAGGCGGCAATGCCTTGGTGAAGATATCTGCAGGCCTCAGAGACCACACGAACCACGCGGGCCTGGCCATGCTATTGCAACTCTCGCAGAAAGAAGTAACGAAGCTGGATGTGCTTCGCCTTCCCAACCAGTCAAGGCTCCTCGCACAATAGGACGGCAGACCTGTTGTCAGCGAACAAGACTGGGGGAGGGCGAGGTCGCTCACCAAGGTCGGTGAGGAGGAAATATAGCCACCAAAGCTCTTGTGCGGCCATGGCCGCAGCGTACACCTCTGCCTCACAGCTGGAGCTAGTGACGGACGACGTCCGAGTCGCCCTCCACGAAACAGCTCCGGTCCCAAGGCTGAAGCAGTAACCCTGTGTAGACCTCAGCGTCTAGGCACAGTCAGCCCACGATGAGTCCGAGTAACATGTGAGTGTAACTAGCTGCTTCCCTCCAAGGACAAGTCCCATGCCTGATGTGCTCACCACATACTTCGCCACCCTCCGAGCAGCCAACCAGTGAGAAGGTCGATGTCTCCCAGGCACAACAAAGCGCGCCAGGACGCTGAGAGGGAAAGCTAGGTCTGGGCAACCCACCAACGCAGGATATGGACCACTGGGCTCAAATGACTCGTCCGAAGGTGGAGCCGTGAGCCCATGATTCACAGCAAGAGGGATGAGCTGTACCATGGAGAACGGGATGCGAAACTGCGTGAGGATCGGCTCGACCAGATGCGACTACGTTAGCGTAATGGTGCGAGTTTCCCCTCCTCTACCCTCTCCTGCTATGGCTGCAACTGAGCCTGCTGCTGCGGGTGTGGCTCCTCCTCTACCCTCTCCTGCTGTGGCTGCAATTGAACCTACTGCTGCGGCCAAGGCTCCTCCTCTACCCTCTACGGCTGTGGGTGCAACTGAACCTGCTGCTGCGAGTGTGGCTCCTCCTCTACCCTCTCCTGCTGCGGCTGCAAATGCACATGCTGTAGCAGCCGTGGCTCCTCCTCTACCCTCTCTTGCTGCTGCTGCGCCTGCCACCACTGCATTGCCTGCTGCTGCTGCTGCTGCTAATGCTGCTGCCGCTCGAGGTGCTCCTACTCGAGAGCACTCTGCAGACGTGTGAAGTGACGGACAGGAGTCTGTGTAGGGTCCGTAGAGTTAGTGCCACCAGTGTCACGTCGAACAACGCCACCCCCAGCGCCTCCAGCTGCAGCACCCCTAGAACCAAAACCTCCACCAAGAACACCCTCAGGGCCTCTAGTACCTCCTGCAGGAACATCCCCAGAATCCGCA